ACCCGCCCGTGATTTACAGAGGTCCCGATGCAGCGGGAAAGTTCTTAGAATATCTACAAAATGAAGAGAAATAATCAGGGAAAATTTATTGCGTAAGAAACCCATGTGTATGACGAGGGATGATTGGCCTATAAGAAGTCGAACTGGTGTAGAACTAAAATTACTTTATTGAGAAAGGATAAAGAGGTGGTATATCGATGGCGGCTAAAAGGTATTCTAAGGCTAATAATAAATTAGTGGAAGGATATAATCCGAGTAAACCCGACACACACATATATTATATCTCGACGCCAACAATTTGTACGGATGGGCTATGAGCAGCCTTTACCCACGGGTGGTTTTGAGTGGGTAGATGTGAATGATATCGAAGTGAATGATATCCCCTCAGATTCTGATAAAGGGTACATACTAGAAGTTGACTTGGAATATCCAAATTCGTTACATAAAGATCATAATAGTTATCCACTAGCCCCCGAAAGATTAATGGTGAATAAAGATTGGATGTCGGAATATCAACACTCATTGATGGGATACACTAGGTTAGCTAACGTAGAAAAACTCGTACCAAACTTGATGGATAAGACAAAATATATAGTTCACTACAGAAATCTCCAGTTATGTCTATCATTAGGTATGAAACTAAAGAAAATACACAGAGTTTCTAAAGTTTGATCAAAGCCCTTGGATGGAGCCCTATATAAGGCTGAACACAGATTTAAGAAAGATAGCTACCAGTGATTTTGAAAAGAATCTATATAAGCTCATGAATAACTCAGTATTTGGTAAAACTATGGCGAATCTAAGGAAGCGTGTTGATGTTAAATTAGTCAGATCTAATGAGGAAGAAAGACTCAGGAAACTTATAGCCAGTCCGGCTTTTAACAGAAGTAATATATTTGATAACGACTTAGCCGTGTTGCATATGCAGAAGAGTAATAAAAAATTCAACAGACCGGTGTACGTCGGTATGAGTATTCTTGACTTGTCAAAACACTTAATGTATGACTTTTATTACAACAAACTTAAGAAGCAATACGGCGATACATGCGAGGTGTTATATACCAACACAGATTCTTTGTTGATGGAAATACAAATCGAGGATGTGTATAAAGATATGGGAGAAAAAATAGATATGTACGACACGAGCGATTACCCAAAAGATAATCCACTGCACAGCGTAGTTAATAAAAAGGTGTTAGGTAAGATGAAGGATGAATGTGCTGGGACCCCTATAGCGGAGTATGACCTTAGATGTATTCTATAAAGAAGTCCAATAATGGAGAGATAAGAAAAGCTAAGGGTGTTAAGAAGTATGTGGTAAAAAAGCATATCAAACACGAACAGTATAAAGTAGCATTATTCAATGGTAGAACATTCAAACACGAGCTGAACTCTTTAAGAAGTGTCAATCATAGGATATATGGATTAAGAATGAACAAGACATCATTATCCCCCTTAGATACAAAGAGATGGATTGATAAGGATGGTGTAACTACCTACGCTTATGGTTATGGTGGTAATACTGTATCGTTGGGAACTATGAGCAACTCTTCTCGCTTAAATGCCCTGCCCAGTCCATCTTTGAGATAATAAAGAATAGGCTCTCCTTCTTTCATAACCAATCGACTAATGTTATATGTCTTAAGGGACCAAATCGGATCGGTTGCGCGACGTAGGCCTCCTTCGAGTTCACCGGGCTGGTATAAATATCTTACGCTTACTCTATCCGGAAGTTTTTGTTCTTTGCCTCTCCTCGGTGCTGAAGATTCGGAAGTCACAGATTTCATTTTAATCGCATCGGATGGTTTCCTCCCGATTAATCTTGTTACTTCATTATTCAGTGCTGATACAACAGCTGATAATCGTGTCACCCATTCGGTTGATCTTAATCTATCCGATTTCATTTCGATCCCATATTGATATCCAAACAAACGTTCCGCTAATGTCCGGTTAAATCTTTTCAACGATAGCTTGACTACGGTGGGCCTCTTTTTCACCACGCCTGATTTCCCGTCGTGCTTTGTTAACAGTTGAGTTACCAATCCCATAAACTCGTGACCATTATCTACTTGAAATAGCTTAGGCCATTTTAATACGATCTCATGATGATCGTTGAATCGCATCATCATTTTGACATAAAAAATTCCCCCTGTAGTGGTGGTATAGGTAAATGAATCTGGCTCCAGTGGAAGTGAGCCAGAACCATCATTACCTATACTACTCCTTGGTTATTGGACCTTGACCTTTGACACTCGACCTTTACCTTTGGCACTCGATCCTTACCTTTGGCACCGTTTTCTTCAGGGATTAGGGTCCATTTCGAGGCTGACCTGACTTACACCAAATCGATAAAGGAGCGGCTTTCAGTTGCCCAGGTGACACTAAAACTCGTTAGGCAAGGTCTGAGACCTAAAGGGAAACTTGTTATTTTGGGTCGGAAGAACGACGTTCCAATGCCCATAGTCGCATCTGGGGTCATATTAACACATTATCAGAAGCTTGAAACTCGCCAGGCAGGTAGTCCTTGACCTTGACCTTTGGCGGTCGACCTTAGTACCCTCCAACCACCCCGACACTTGACCTTAACTTTGTTATTTGACCTTGACCTTGGTATTTGACCTTGACCTGTGACACTCGACCTTTACCTTTGGCACTCGATCTTTACCTTTGGCACCATTTTCTTCAGGAGTTAGAGTCCATTTTGAGGCTGACCTGACTTACTCCAAATCGATAAACGAGCGGCTTTTGGTTGCCCAGGTGACCTTAAACCTTGTTTGGGGAGGTCTAAGACCTAAAGGGAAACTTGTTATTTTGGGTTGGAAGAACGACGGTCCAATGCATAATCGCATCTGGGGTCACATTAACACATTGTCAGAAGCTTGAACCTCCCCAGGCGGGTCAACCTTGACCCTCCAACCACCTTGACCTTCGACCCTGACATTTGACGGTCGACCTGGACCTTGATATTTGACATTGACCTCTGCTTTTGACCTGGGTACCCTCCAACCACCCCGACCTTTGACCTTGACTTTGGTATTTGACCTTGACCTTGACATCAACCTTGATCTTTTTATTGACCTTGACCTTTGACACACGACCTTTACCTTTGGCATTCGATCTTTTCCTTTGGCACCGTTTTCTTCAGGGGTTAGGGTCCATTTCAAGGCTGACCTGACTTACTCCAAATCGATGAACGAGCGTCTAATATTTACCACCGATCCACAAAGCGTTCTAAATCCGTTCGTAAATTCGTCGTCTTACAATCATTGTCGTAAATTAAGATTAGTGCTGTAATAGAGGGTGTTCATTCGAAGAAAAACGTGTTGTTTTCGTCGTTTAGCAACAATTTGACGAACAGCATGAAGAAGAAAGCATGGAAGGACATTTCACAGAGGTGAGTGATTCAATGAAATTGTGAGTGCGTGTTTTTGGGGGGAGGGGGGGGGCGGTCATGTGTCTGGTATAAACTTGAGTACAAATATGTAAATAATGATTACGTAAAACATCGATGTTTTATGTTGAATAGTCAGGGCGAGGAAAGCGCTCTGACGGTAAATATAAACTGACTCCAAAAGAAACTTTACGGGAATTTGAAATCACTCTTGCAACAAAAACAACAAAACATATATGCATAAAGTAAAGTGTCTTGAGAAGATCAATATATCAACATAATCAACACTGAAAATGACAATCATACCGCGACCGAGAATGACGTCAGAACCCCACAAAGTTGGGTGTGGTACAAAACTCGAGCTTTCAGAAACATGGACAATAGGCAGAGTACATAAACAATCGCTCACGTTCATTAGTAGCGTGTGTGACCACCAAATGCCTCAATACACGCAAAAACTCTTCGACGCACAGAAAAAGTCAGTCGTCTGATGAGGTCACGTGGGATTTGACACCATTCTTCTTGAAGAGCCAAAATCAGTTCTTGCCGGTTGGCTGGAGAGTGTGGTCGTTGTCGAACACGACGATCCATCAAGTCCCAGAGGTGTTCTATGGGGGACATGTCGGGTGAGCATGTAGGCCACGGCAGGACGTTGACATTGTTGGCTGCGAGGAAGTTAGTGACAATTCTGGCTGTATGGGCTCTAACGTTGACACCACGTGGCTGCTGTTGGAGAAATGGTAGGACAACTGGACGAAGAATGTTATCCATGTAATGCTGAACTGTCAAGTTTCCGTCAACGATGACCAGCGGTGTCCTCTCCTGCCCACAGATCCCTCCCCACACCATGACACTCCCTCCACCATATGGTACGACCTCCTGCACGCAACATGCCGCCGTTCGTTCACCCCTTCGGCGGTAAACACGTTGTCTTCCATCAGCCCTAAACATACAGAATCAACTTTCGTCAGTGAAGACAACCCTCTGCCAGTCTCGTCATTGCCAACGTTGCACAGTCCGGGCCCATCTCAATCGCAGATGACGATGTTGCGCTGTCAATAGCTGTCCTCTGTATGGTCTAAAAGCCCTGATTCCATGAGCCCTGAGTCTCCTGGCCACTGTCTGTCGACTAACCCTGTGACCTAAGGCATTTGTCGCTGATGATGTCACTGTCAGGAAGCGATTTCGGAGGTGCAAGGTACGCAAGTACCGGTCATCATGGGGCATGGTCACCCTGCGTCTACCTGTTCTTGGCCTGTCAGCGGTCGCCCTGTCAGTCTGTAATGTTGCATCAAGTTGGTAACGGCAACATGGGAGCAACCGAAGGTTCATGCAATATGGACGTGGTTGGCTCCCATCTGTACCATACCCAAGGCTCGTTCGCGTTGTTCGACTGTGAGTCGTGGCTTTTCTTTAGTGTTTTTTTTATCACTGTGGATGTCTGACTTGCCGTTGCAATCGTTTTATACCCTTACCCGCACGTGCATTTGCAGTTGTCTGTGGTGCACGTGTTTTTCACTTTTTCGTGTGTTTTCTCGCAAACATGTAACAGACGATTAACATGTTCTGCATACACTATTGTTGTATTTAGGTTATGTGTTTTAGATAGTCTTCATCGAAAAAAAATTTATACTTTGTCTGAAATTTATATTTTCAGTTGGTAAAGTTTCTTTTGGACGTCAGTTTATGTATGTATCTGTAGGCTATCTCCCCAACCTGTGAACAGGGTGTTACTTCATCAACCCGTCTTTGGTAATAACTTGATGCAAAGGATATACATAAGCTGGAACTAGCGATGCAGTGATAGGGGCATCCATTTTGACACTTAGAAAGGGACACCACTCTATCCGTATTTTAGACGAGACATTCTCTCAATACATTATGTTGCTAGGATTTTGGAGTTCTAACCCTTCCAAACAGTGGTGTCAAGAGACTGACCAAAGATGTTAAAAAGAAGTGGATGGACTACAAGTATGTGTATCACACAGAACAATTTTGAACATAATATTATTTTATGTAAACAAATACTCATTGCATGGTATAAAACATGTGCTTGTCCTGACATATATATGTTCAGTGAAACATTCATATTTAGCTGTTATGGTCATGTATTCACACATTCATGCTCGGGAGTATGCACGCCAAACACAACAGAACATGGAAGGAAACCATCATAGTTTACTCAGACATCGCATCCATACATGACGTCATCATATGACGTAACGAGATAATGTGTACTTGGATATTGCGGGAAACTGTATCACACAAGATGTAAACAACTATAAGGAGAATACACTACACTCCTCCCCTCTAAACATTTACCTTATGATTATATTAAAGATTAGAGTCCATCAATAATATTGATATATATATATTATAATAATACTTCTACAGTCCATCAGGTGTACTACGATCTTGCTGTAATGTTAGGCTTCTGAATAATAGCAACAATAAAGTCCATTTCATTATAACTTTGATAACTGGAATTAACACAACTTTTAAAACTTGTAAATTCTGATCTTGAATAACTGGTGAATTGACAATTCATGCTAGATGCCTGAACTGTCCTCATTAAAGTCACAATGTTCAAAGATCAAGTCTTTGTACTTGTTTTCATTCACTTCAAATTCTCTGAGTATGATGGATTTGTCGTGAAATTGCTTCTGTTTTTCTTGAGCTGCTTCCACAGTTTTCCGCAGGTCTGGTTTCAAAAGTGAAAGTCTTGTGCGAACTTGTCTTCCAAGAAAAAGTTCAGCAGGTGTCCGTCCAGTTACGGAATGAGGAGTTGACCTGTAAGTCAATAGGAAATTTGCCAAGTGTTTCTTTGTTGACTTGTCTCCATTGTCGAGTTTGACGGACATCATGTGTTTCTTCAGAGCAGATTTAATAACTTGAACAGATCTTTCTGCTGCTCCGTTTGATGAAGGGTTGTAGGGTGGACTGAGGAAATGTTTGATTCCATTGTTCTTCATAAAATCATATATTTCTCAATGTCTCTATAGTCTTCTCAGCTGTCGTGGAGGTCATGAGAATAGCTTCAATCCATTTCGAACGACTATCTATCGGCACAAAATAATGCTGACTTTGAAATTCAGGAAAATTCACATGCACTCTTTCCCATATTCTCTGAGGATACTTCCAAGGGTGAAGAGGAGCCACTGGTGGGTCATTTTGTAGACTTTGGCATACAGCACAACTTTTAGCTGTCATTTCGATGTCATGATCAAGACCTGGGTACCACACATAGCTTTTAGCGTGTGCCTTCATCTTCACAATGCCCATATGCTCACTGTGTAGTTCATTCAACACATAGTCTGGATAGCTCTTTGGAATGAGAACCCTGAGTCATCATAACAAACAATCTTGATCCACAGACAGTTCATCTTTCCGTCTGAAGAATGGTGCAAGACCCTCATCTGCAGCATAATTTGGCCAACCACGCATGGTATAGTCCATCACACGAGCCAATACAGGATCTTTCCTAGTTGTGCTATTTCTGTTGCTGAGACAGGCAAGTTGATCACATTTGAGAAGTAGTTGATCTTGGCTTCAATGGTTTCTGGGTCATCGTTTCCAGGAAGTCTAGAGAGTCCATCTGCGTTAGCATGATCCTCTGATCTTCGATATCGTATCTCATAGTCATGTGCCATCAGAATGAGAGCCCATCGTTGTAAACGTGCTGCTGCCAGTGTAGGTATGCAATTCTTGGGACCTAACAGAGTGGTAAGTGGTTTGTGGTCAGTGATTAAGACAAACTTCCTTCCATAGATGTACTTGTGAAACTTCTTGATATGATCGCAAGTGCTTCTTTTTCTATTTGGGCATAATTTTTCTCTCTTGGTGAGAGGGTTCTTGAGGCGAAAGCAACTGGTCTTTCAGTTCCATCATTCATCACATGAGATAGCACACATCCAACACCATATGCGGATGCATCACATGCCAAAGTTAATGGCTTGTTCAAGTCATAGTGGACAAGAACACTTTCACTAGACAACATAGTCTTGCACTTTTGGAAAGCATCTTCTTGTTCTGAATTCCATTTTCAAGGAGTGTCAGCCTTCAAGAGTGAGTAGAGGGGTGCTAGAATCTAGACATGTTTCCCAAGAATCTGCCATAATAATTCGACTTTCTGAAAAGTGTTGTTATCTCCCTTTGCAAAAGAAAATTAGAGTGATGTCCCCTTTTCACGTTCACTTCCGCCGAGTAAACCTTCAAAATGGCGGCAAATAACAATATTGACGTTGATGATGAATTCCATCAAATGACAGTTAAAGAATTGCGTGAATACCTACGGGAACGAAATCAAAAGGTGACTGGGGTAAGAGCACACGTTTTAGCGCGAGCAAGAGGGGCGAAGGCACTTCGTTTGGATGCAACCACCTTAGTACAACCCAGTAAAGGCGTTATATCTATGCAACGGAAGCTCATCACACCCAGCGAATATCGAATGCCAGACCCCACTACATTAATGGTTGGATGGAACGATGCTGTTGAATCATTGCCGGAATTCTCAGAGAAGGAAATCTACAATTATATGGTACTTAGCAACCATAGGACTTCAGACACGAAACCCATGATGGCTAAACGACAAATGAAGGCAGTGGTGTTTAACCAAGATAGACATGTTCACGGCGTAGCTCTACACAACATCCATCACGACTGTGACCATATGTTTGTCAGATGTCGTGTCATACCATCACTGCCAACAGCGGATCCTAAGAAAAGCCCCGATCACGAAGTTTGGGCAAGTCTCTCAAAAGTAACAGGTCGTGTTCATTCAGCAAATTGTACTTATGCAGCTGGGTATGTAGACTTTGCATTTATATAACTGCTGTCGTGTCATCTATATCTAGATCGCTGTTTTTTTACAAACAAAACGTTTAAAAACCTTTTCAAAGAAAATATGTTCCAAATATTAAGTTTGATCAAAAGATATGTAAATTATTAATTCCAAATACCAGCAAAGTAATTGATACATTTTAAAATCTCTTCCTTTGAGGGACCTCTCATTCACTTTTGTTAATTTAAATAAATAAACAGATTATTGATATTGTTGCTTATTAATATGTGACATCTTTAGCTGATTACATTAAAAATAATAATTATTTAGGGTGAAATAGAGGAAACATGACTGTGTCATTTTATATGCATTTGATTGTTATTTCATAATATTAAAGCTAGAGTCCAAATAATATTAATAAATATAACTAATTTTGTTTTTGCAGTGCCCGGGAGGCTTGTAATCATGTATCAGCCCTGCTTCATGCCCTTGCAGACATTAGTCAGAAGAAAAAGGATGGTTTGCTTTCATGCACATCAGTTGAGTGCAAGTGGAAAATTCCCAGAAAAAGGAAGTTGGATCCAATGAAATCGGATGACTTGAACCTGATGTCAAGCGGCAGGAATAGTCAACAAAAAGGTACTGGGACTACACAAGGTACTGTCGGAATACAGAATGGAACAATCAACAAAAGATCAATGTGTCCCAAGAGCAACATGCCACAGACAACAATACATCTCACAAGATTTAATAAGAAGTTAATTGGTCATGAAACAAAAAGTAAATGTGGATATGTTGTTAATACAACTACTGTTACTCAAGCTCCTGAACCTATGCCAGAACTTCCAAAAATACCATGCATTGATCGTTGTATTCCTGACTATGTTGATATTAAATCGCCAACCTGTCAAACTACCTTTCAAAATTATTTTGATTCCATGAAAGTGTCAGAAAAGGATGTGAGGTCAATAGAGAGAATGACAAGAGGACAACATAAAACAAAGTTTTGGAAGGAAGCCAGATTGGAAAGGATAACAAGTTCACAGTTTGGCAAAGTATTTATCCGACAGACATCTACAGCTCCAGATAGACTTGTATGTGACCTAATGGGATATCGGGGCGAATTTGGTAACAGACATACCAGATGGGGACTTTCACATGAATTGGCAGCAAGGCGGCAGTATATCAACAAAATGGCAGGTCTTCATCCACAGTTGAAAGTGTCTCAGTGTGGACTTATTGTGAATACAGACTACCCTTACCTTGCAACTAGCCCTGATGGACTTGTGTCATGCACAGATTGTAGTACATGTAGTAATCAACATGGCTTAGTAGAGATTAAATGTCCATCTGTTTTCAGAGATCTAACACCAGAAGAGGCTGCATCAAATACAAATTTCTTCTGCCATATTGTGGACAATAATTTGACTCTAAAAGAAAACCATGCATACTACTTTCAAGTACAAGGACAGATGGCCTTGACCAAAAGAACTTGGTGTGATTTTGTGGTGTGGACTCTCAAAGGGATATCTATTGAAAGGATTACATTTGACGAGAACAAGTGGCATCAGATGGTCACAAGGCTTCGCAGTTTCTATCTCTCAGCCATTATTCCTGAAAAATATACCCGACGTGTCCAGTGAGGTGTTTCACTGTATTAGATTGACCATTGTACTACCATCTTACCAGTTGTTTTACCCTATGCTCACTCAGTCAATTCAATGTTTCACTCAATACCATATCATATCTTTCTTTGATAGTCATAGATACTTACCATTCAGTGGGTGAATTGTTACTTAACGCCGCATTCACGGCGACTGACCATTAAGATAGTATGTCGCTTAGACACAGGATATCTTCTTCTCCTTGTAATTTCTTGAACCATTCTATTAAGCCATAACATATCATAACATATTTTCTGTAACATCTTGAAATGACAACATGATTAAAGAAAATCATCAAGCGTTTATTTCTTTCATTTTTAGTTATTGTTACAAAAATTAGAACCATGGGACTATGATCCTGCTGTCACAGCTAAAACATGAAATTGTTTATCTACTTATATGAAGAGTCAGGATTTTTATATATCAATGCTTTGATTCAATAAGTAAAACAAAAATAGACAACCAGTAGGTGGTCATGTCAATAGTCATATTGGACAAACATAGACTTATTTGGCTAGACTTATTTGGCTCAATGTTTTCAATACAAAATTGTTATCATGATACAATGATTATATAGTTTAAATATAGCAGAAAATATCATGTGACCATTCACATCTGGAGCTGCAATAAGATTATGCTAATCCTACTAATTACAGAGCAAGCAAGGAACTGTCATCAAAGAAGTAATTGTCATCAATTTCTTGGTCATGAGGATAAAGAGGGGGAAGCAGAGTAGTCAAAGCATTACAGATTTTCCAGATTTTGTTTACAGATTTTGAAATTGTAATTGGAATTATACCCTGCAAAATTCTGAAATTCTTGACACGTTCAACATGGATTCTCAAGTTTGCTATTCTCCTAGTTTGTTCAATTTCTACAGCAGTCAGCTGTTTTCTCTTATGTTTCTTTGGTGGAATTATTAGGAGTATACCTTTTGGTGTTGTCAAGTCTGAGATTGTAAATCCCTTATCCGCCATGATTGCATCACCTACATCACACAAATCTAAAAGTCCTGATTCTACTGTTATTTGCCGGTCACTTATAGCTCCTGACCACAAGTCAGAGACAAAGCTAACAACACCATTTGGAGTGACACCAACAAGCGCTTTAAATGTTATGTGACTTTTATAATGACTGTACATTTGTGACTGTTTACCAATAGAGTAAGGTTTTTCTGTAAATAATTCTGTACAATCTATAACAACCCTTGTATTTGGATACAGGTCTTTAAAACCTTGAGGCATAGTTGTATTAATAGTATCCATTAATGGCCAGACAACTAGGAAGGATAAATTGTTGTACAAAATATCAATCCATCTATTAATGACATCAGCACAGCAGCTTCTGGAAATATTAAATCGCTTTGATAAATCAACAACTAGGAGTCCAAGTCTAAGACGCATCAACACTAGAAAGAACTCGTCTATCAAAGACAAAGATTTAGGGCGCCCGATATTGGATGTTGGATAGTCCCTGTCATGAACCTCAGAAAACTCAAATAAACATGAAAACTTTTCTGCATCCACAAGACCTGTATAATAGGTTACCAATTCTGAATCATTCTTCACATAAAAAAATGTTAAATCAGGAAGCTTGACTTGAGTGGCTTGATTGCGAAAGACTTTTTTTATTTTCAGTCTCAGTCTGAGTCATTGCACAGGATGTTTTCACAGGATTCAAACACTGGAACATTACATCGTCAGTTTGAGTAGACATGCTTCTAACTTCCACCATTTCTGTTTGCGATGATCCATATCTTATGCAACTGATATCGTCTTCAAACACAGCCACACAGTAGTCATGCAGCATAATTGATGCAACGTCATAGGATCTGTCAAAATAATAAATAGCTTTTCATCACATTAAATAAATTTAAAAAATTCCGATATTTTGAGGTTAAAGGAATTAAAATTAATAAATAATAAATTAACATAAATTTGTTAATACAAAAGCTAATATAAGAAGTGTATTTTCAAGTTTATTGGTCAATGCTCTATTATATTTTATGCTCTCTATATATATTTCATGCTCTTTATATTTTATTGTTCTGTAAGTAAGAGAGACTACACCATGTACACCATGATTTTTATATTTTGTCTTGTTAAGCATAACTTCTCATAATAATCAACGAATTCAAATAAAGAAACAAACTTATGTTCCCGCTGTACCTGGCACCTTGACTGAATGTTGTGGAATGATGTTCAATTTCATCAGACTGAGGAGTCCCTCCATGTATCTGCATAGTCACTTTGGGAGATTCAGGGTCACAGGCCTGCTTGAATGGGCTTTCATTTGGCTTAGGGGTATCAACAAAGTCAGCATCAGACACCTGCAACAAATTATCAACAGACACTGAGACATTTTTTTCTATTTATTCAAACAAGTTAATAAGATGAAAGAGAGGATACATAGAATTTTAAGATCAACACAACTAGAAACGTTTTTGTTTGTTTTTTTAATTTCAAGTTTTAATCATAGCACTTTTTCACAATCACATAACATTCACAAACGATAAAACACATTAAATACACCAACAATAGCATAAATCTTATAAGAATCAACATAACTCACTGTGCAAGTACTGTAATTTTTCTTCGGAAAAATCGATGGAACATCATGCCCTATGCCTAGGCCGTTACCACCCAGGAAATGTTCTGAGCATATTTCCGTGTGCTTGGTCACTGTGAGGTCTTTTCTCACAAACCGAAGTCGCCTTATCCACGCTTGTCGTAGGGACTTGCTTACTGGAATGACGTGTAGAGATACTATTCTTTCACCGACTCTCTTTCCCCTAAAATTGCTATAAATACAGCAGTATTGCTTCCCCATTTTGACAGCTTCGAAGCAGCGCGCTATTTTCGACGGAAGTTGTCAGTACTCGGCGGAAGTTCATCCGAAGAGTTCCAACTCAAGACGGATAACTCTCATTGAACTTGACTTTTCGGAAAGCCGAATTGATAATTCCCAAGAAAGCTCTTAGCTGTGTGATGTGTTCTGGATGTGGAGCTTCAGCAATGGCCTTTATCTTGTCTGCAAGTGGATGTAGTCCATCCCCATCGATGCAGTGTCCCAGATATTCCACTCTGGGTGCCTTGAACTTGCACTTGTCTTAAGTTCACTTTAATGCCATAGGTATCCAGACGTTTCAGCACTTCATGAAGCACCTTGTCATGCTGGTCATCTGTCACAGTCCCTATCAATATATCATCCAGCAATGACTCAGCTCTAGGTATGCCTTGTAATACCTGATCCATTATAGACTGAAATATGGAAGGAGCAGTGAGACCTTTATTGGTGTTGATCACTAGTAGTGGTTTTGACCGATCTGTAAGTTCTAGCTGAAGGTATGCATTTGACAAGTCCAACTTCGTGAAGACTTTGACTCCGCCAATCTTTGCGAATAAATCTTCTGCTGTTGGCAGGGGGTACACATTATCCTCCAGTACCGAGTGACTGTCACCTTATAGTCCCCACATAGTCTTACCGTCATATTTGCTTTGAGAACTACCACCACTGGCGTCGCCCAATCAGATTTCTCAACCTTTTTAATGATTCCTTCACGTTCAAGTCTGTCAAGCTCTGTTTCCACTGCATCTCTTAGGGCATAAGGTACAGGACGTGCTTTAAAGAACTTTGGGTTGGCATCTGCTTTAACCTTGATATCTTCTTTAAAGGTCTTGATAATACCTCTACCTTGGAATACTGAACTGTACTTGGCTTTCAGTTCTTCTTTCAGTGAGCTACACTGTTCAGTTACTGCACATAACTTTCCCCAGTCTAACTTCATGACTGACATCCAGTTTCTTCCGAATAAAGGTGCCCTGTGTCCCCCTTGCAACAAGTAATGGTAGGGTGAATTCTTTCTCATTGTATACCACGGTTATCTTGGCTTCTCCAAGTAATGGTATTACCTTTTCTGAGTAATCGTGAAGGGTCACTTTTGTGGAAGATAAGGGTATCTTATCGAATTGTCTCTTGTACATCTCTTATATTATATTATTGTACTGATTCACCTTGATTCTGTTTCCGTTCCGTGAAAGCTTGCCGTTCCCAAATAACATTGCGTACTGGTTTGAGTAACGTTTCAATGCTTCTGTAAGATCGTTGTACTGAACATCGGCAATGTCGGTCGGCGAAAACATAGACACTAACAGTTCAAAGGCACTTGGTCCGATAGTTGCCAAGAATACGTTTGCACGATCTTCTGCCTTGAACTTGTTAGCTTCATCCATATTTCCAGTCGTTTCTGGTAGCTTTCCCAGTCTTCTTTGCCGGGGGTAAACTCGCTCACCGATCCTACCATGGGCGCGGCCATCTTGTATCACGTGACTCGTCACTTCCGCTTTTAAAATCCGGAGAATTCGGGTCAGCCCAGTTTGTCGCTTCGATAAACTTGGGTCGTGTTACTTAGCACTAACACCGTTCATTTAACGTGAAATAGGTTACTGTCCAACCTAGGAATGTGTGATATTCCAATATTATCACTGGCTTCATTATGTGTGATATTCCAATATTTTCACTGGCTTCACTATTTTCCTTCCGAAAGAACGAATGTCACATGGCGCGCAATCACGCAAAGCCGTATCTGATTTGTTCGTTCTGTCACTTTTCCTGAATTACCACATTAAGTAAACAGTTCCAAAATACTCCCTTAGGTATCCCCTCCTTAGGGATCCCATCCTCGTCGCCAAAACTGTCATGTATTCACAAATTCATGCTCGGGAGTATGCACGCCAAACACAACAGAACATGGAAGGAAACCATCATAGTTTACTCAGACATCGCATCCATACATGACGTCATCATATGACGTAACGAGATAATCTGACTTGGATATTGCGGGAAACTGTATCACACAAGATGTAAACAACTATAAGGAGAATACACTACAGTTATCAAATATAGAGAAAAATTGTTTATACTGGTGTTAACATTTTTGGAGATAATCCGAGGTGTGTTTGCTTATTTATATACATTTTGTTCCATCAGGAGTCAAACAAGGAAAAAAGAAGCTGAAAGAAGGAGGGAGGCAACGAGAACTGGTGGGGGGCCTCCACCGTCCAGCCTCACTGAAATCGAACAGCGGGTGAGCCTACAGTTTCTTTTTCAATCATGAATTTCATAAATGCTATATCATTGTTTGGTTTTTTTATATGTCGGCATATCGTGTACACAACAAGTACAAATGAATATAGTTGCTGTTGAATTGTAATTTTCAATTTATATGAAAAGCTCTTAAAGGAGCAGTTAGATTGTGATTATAACAAACAAGTCTTCTTTTGACCAATAAGTTATTAGGTAAAGTACTTCATTCCTTATTACAGAGAACATTAACATTGTAACATGCATTGAAAGAAATATTGATTTCAGGTTGTATCATTCATACCTCCCTGCTCGATTCAAGGTTGTGAGGGTGGCCTTGAAAGTGAAGAATATGAAAGTAAGTTGCGTAATTGGTTGCGTGAATGGCTGTATGTGCAGTTGTTTAATACTTAACCGGTCTCATAGTTTATGTTAATGACCATGTGTCAGACATATTATAGATTATCTCATACAGTAAAGGTAATTGTGATCATGTAAGATAAAAGATGAGGCGAAACCGCATTATCAGTGGTTCATATTGGGAAAGGGAGGTCACTCTAATTTCAAACGGGAGCTATCTCCGTTGTTTTCGTATTTGCGAGAAATGGCGTCACCCACGCTGCACGTTGTTGGTCCAGCTATTAAATGCCCAGCTTATTAAAACGTAAGGTAATTAAATGTTTGAATGCATTATATATTTATGTTTCCATCAGTACATCTTCTAAGATTGGTTTAGTGGTGATAACCATTTTCCAAACTGTGGGCCCACATTTTTCCCGTCATCTATGGTGATCGAAACAAGTGGGCCCACATTTGTATTTCGCCTAGCTTCGTGAGGTTGTTTCGTTAGTTCTGATAATCAATCCCTAAATGTTGGCAGACGTTCTTCCGTCATATTGATTGCAACAGGAGGGACCACATTTATTAATCGCGAAATTCTACTTAAATATTGATAATCATTTTCTCAAATGTGGGCCCACATTGTTCCCGTCATATATGGTGATCGAAACAAGTGGGCCCACATTTGTATATCGCCTAGTGGGTAGACGTTCTTCCGTCATAGTGATTGCAAAAGGAGGGACCACATTAAAAAAATCGCTAGCTTCATTAGCTTTGCTTACTTATAACCATTTTCTAAAATGTGGGCCCACATTGTTCCCGTCTTATAGTGATCGAAACAGGTGGGCCCACATTTTTAAATCGCTGGGTTTCTTAAGGTTGACGAAGTCATTTAGGCTATTGGGCTCACATTTGTCATTATGTGACATTTTATATTATTCATATTTTGTAATATTGATGGGAAATATCTTTATAAATCATTTCGTGTGACATTAATTCCATAAAAGGCACAAAAGTCTTTGAAGTTTGAATAACTGCGTCATAGCTGACCACACTAGTTTTACAAAAATAGCTACCAAGCAAGAAACATAAATCTACTTCAAATTAAAATTACAGAGGCAATACCACTCATTCTACCTTTTCCAGTATAACACATCAATCTAATCATAAGTATTGGTGGCGATATAAGCCTGAACATATGTCTACACTTGAATTGATCTCGGACATGATACAAGCCTCAGACGTTTCCGAGAACTTGTTCCATAAAAGGAATAACTCATGAATATTAATAACCCCACGACCTAGTTTGGCGATGTTCGTAGAAGTGAGTTCTGCTGTATTGCCATCTTATTTGTACATTTTAATCCAATTATATTTTAAATAGACAAATTATGAGTTCGTTATGCGGGTTTGTTTACGTAGTATATATTCTCAACAACAAGTGCGTTTAGTTTCGAATGTGGGCCCACCTCGAACATTCGATTAGGCAAACGGAGTTAGCTCCCTTCTCGAACCACCGATAATGCGGTTTCGCCAAAGATGAAGTATTGAACTTAAGTTGATTTTGAAATTTGATTAATAGTTCCATTAATAACCATACTTTTTGTAGATTTTGCCTTTTTTCATTGCAGAGAAATTGGTAAATTGGACCTACATGTATCTTATTACTTAAAGACACTACCCCAGCAACTCCAGTTTTTCCAGAGACTCTTCAAGCCCTGCAGGATTTTGCCTTATGATGGGGCCTTTGTACCACCTACATACATGTACTCAGAGAGTGTGATGTCAGCAGATGATGTTCCTCAAGGTATTACCATATACATAATGGAAATACTGCACAATAAATTTAAGGGTTCTGGGTGGGGAGAGATTTGCAACTGTGATAGTTTATTGCAGGTATACCTACCACAAGATAAGATGAAATCATGTATACAACATCACAGGTCTTAGAAATACAGTTCATGGATTTTAATTGTATGCCTCACACTCCAATCTCTGTATGTGTTTATGTATTAATTGTATGCCTGAAACTCATAACTTCCTTATTTAACTCTGAATTCCGTATTCCTGTGGATATGTTTTAAATACAACATTCACATGTCTCAGTTAAATGATTTGTTTCTTTAATACAGTTGATGCAGTTTCACATGTTAAGGCCACAAAGACTCTCAGTGGTATGTACAGCAATACATCAAATTTGAAATTTGAAAAGATAAAAAGAGAAAAAATGTGATTTACTCAAGAAACCCTGCTTTTTGGGGGGGATAAAGTTTGTATACAGATGAAACATAACTGTTGCTGTGAGACTTGTGTTATGTAAAATGAAAATTTCTTTCAGACAAAGATACCATTCTGAACATAGAGAGGGAGAAACTGAATGTGCTTTAAGAGCTTCTTGAGGTCGAAAAAAAGAGACTACATGTTGAAGGACAGAAATTGGCCTACATCATTTCTCTGGAAGCTGGCCACTTTGGCCAACTGAATGTGCCACCAGTTATTCAGTTTCTTTAAGCTTTGATTAATTTTCCCAAATATAAAAATTTATACTGATAATGTAGCTTCTGTTGTCACATATCATCGGTTACAAAAAGTCGTTTATCTTAATCATACAATCATTTAGAGAAACAGTTATTGACGACAGCTTGTCTGACTTTGTGGCCGTCATTGAGAGGTAAGGTCCCAAGTAAGCTATCCCATCTTCTTGGATCAGGTCTTCTTGTGTAGGAGGAGCGGGTAACCTGTCAGCTGGATAACTTCTGCATCAGTCTCACTGATGCAGAAGTTATGCAGCTGACAGGTTGCATACACAACTTGATGGCATTTTTGTGGGGTGAACGGCAGGCAGCCACCTGATTTATGTATGCACCTAATAATGTATATAAACACAAACATTACCCTTTGTTCAGAATGCAGATAAGATAGACTAGTTGCATTATTATGTGTAAAACTTGAAATATTCTAAAAAGACCATGTCTCTGATTTACTTTAAAGTATGAGTATTATCTTAAAGCATAACATCTTAATCTGTCATTAGCACAAATATATGCCTTACTAATGTCTCAAATATTGAAAAATGTTATATATCCTTGAGTAGAATAAGGGACATATACATGCCTGAACCTGGATTTAAGGAGTCCAAAAGCCCTCTCCACAGTGTTGCCTGTTCTGCAGTGTAAGTGTTGTCTGTTCCTCAGACGGTGTTGTAGGGCGTCATGCATATCTGATGGAAAAAGTGTACTTCTGTTAAACATACTGACCATACCATTAAATATTGAAAGACAACTTAAAATACCAGCTTATATATTTCACTTCAAATGTTATTTCATTTAGTGACAATTTTATTGGTGTCAGTTTACATTGTGAAATTTGGGTTTAAGTACTTTCACTCAAAGCTAGATTTTATTGGCGCTGCTTTCAATTTATGATATTTTAAAGTGACTAATATGAAATAAACATTGGAATCTGAAAATCACATTATGGTTACAGTATGGTCTTCTGTGTGCCAAGTTACAAAATATCAACTTCTTGTTTATATGTTTTCTTATCTCTGTAGTGGTTACAATACAACTTACCGTATTCGACGTAATAAGCGCCCCGCTCTAATAAGCGCCCACAGCGATATTTGCTGATATATTGGCTAGTAAACAATCCTAATTAGCACCCCTTCCGATTGATCAATGTACACAAGACTTTTTTATTCGCGCATATGCACACTCGTGTGTTATATGCACCTTTAATTATGGGCAATTAAATTCTGAAAAAAATATATCTGTCGTACATAAACATTTCAGGCTGTCACCATAAACCACAAATTTATCTTTCAACTCTCTTTTTTTCCACCAAAATAATATTCTAATAAGAGCCCCCTATTTCTAATTTTGAGAGCGCCCTGGGCGCTTATTACGTCGAATACGGTATATTTACACAAATGATTTGCTGTGACCCTGAATCGCCTAGCAAGATTGGGCAGTATATGGAGACTGCTTTCCCAGCAGTCTCCATATACTGCCCAATCTTGCTGTTTTGTAGCATGAACGAATCATGAGTTGAACCAGGCCATTTGGAAACCACACTTGTAAACCTTTTGATTATATATATATAATTCTTCCATCAGCCATACATTCATAAATCGATATTAAAGTTATTTTCTCAAGTCCCTGTGTGTGTGTGTGTGTGTGTATGTGTGTGTGTGTGTGTGTGTGTGTGTGTGATAGTCCAACTGGTTGTTTACAGTTTTCTTTATTCTTTCTTTATTCAGCAGTGAGCATTGCTTTAAGTATTAAAACAATCGTCCTTTATCACAATGATAATTCCACACGGTAAAAGAAACCTGTATTGGACCTCATGACAAAACCCATGTTGGGCTTTACGTAATGATTGGTCAACAAAATGAGTAGGTGGCACCACTAGTCATTGTCAAGGTCATTAAAGAGAGTAAACAAGGTGTGTATCCTTCGATGTTTCCCTGAATAATGTTGTTTTACGTCTGTATACGACTGATTGATTCATACTGACCCTATCATTTGTTAAATAAGGATGTTGCTGGGTGTTGTTAACTACTGTGAAGTGTGATGTACCTTAGTTCTGCGTCACAGACAGCTTGAACGTTTACGGCATGGAAGCTCTTCCTGCAAACGTAAACTGCTTCTTCATCCCCGGTGGGTCGCATGATGAGGTATGAGGGTGCCATCTATAAACAACCAAGCACTTTTGGAAATTTACTAATGTTATAAATGCTTCCTTCGTGACACGTTGGTCGGATGTTGCCTTTGGGAACGAAATCAGTTTTAGTTGTTTGACAATGGCTTCATTTGTACGGGTAAACAACTGTGACACAGTGGACTGGGACACCCCATGCAAGTCTGCTAGTTCAGTGAAGAACGACCCCTTACCATAAAATATTTTCACTAAGAAAGCTTTGCGGATCGCTTAAGATTTTTGTCATAAAGTTACAATGAGCTTTACGATGTTCGTAGCGCTACGAAGCCTTTGTGGATCGGGGCGAAGGGCGACCTTAATCCTTGTTTGGCAAGGTCTGAGACCTAAAGGGAAACTTGTTATTTTGGGTCTCAAAAACGACGGTCCAATGCCAATAGTCACAATTAACAAATTGTCAGAAGCTTGAAACTCGCCAGGCGGGTCCCTTGATCCTCCAACCGCCCCTACATTTGACCTTGACTTTGGTATTTGATCTTGACCTTTGACGGTCGACCTTCGCCTTAGTATTTGACCTTGACCTTGGTATTTTGACCTTGACCTTTGGCACTCGACCTTTACCTTCGGCACTCGATCTTTACCTTTGGCACCCTTTTCTGCATGGGTTAGGGTCCATTTCGAGGCTGACCTGACTTACTCCAAATCGATAAACGAGCGTCTTTCGGTTGCCCAGGTGACCTTAAACCTCGTTTGGCAAGGTCTGTTTTTTCGGTCGGAAGAACGACGGTCAAATGCCCGTAAGTCGCATCTGGGGTCACATTAACACATTGTCAGAAGCTTGAAACTCACCAGGCGGGTAGACCTTGACCTTACAACCACATTAACACTCGACCTTGACCTATGGCAATGGACCTTTGCCTTGGTGTTTGACCTTGACCTTTGGCACTTGACCTTTACCTTTGGCACTCGACCTTTCGCTTTTGCACTCGACCTTTACCCTTGGCACCCCTTTCTGCAGGGATTAGGGTCCATTTCGAGGCTGACCTGACTTACTCCAAATCGATAAACGAGCGGCTTTCGGTTGTGCAGGTGAAACCTCGTTTGGCAAGGTCTGAGACCTAAAGCGAAACTTGTTATTTTGGGTCGGAAGAACGACGGTCCAATACCAATGGTCGATTCTGAGGACACATTTTTCCCTCCAACCACCTTGACTTTGACCTTGATATTTCACCTTGACCTTTGACGGTCGACCTTGACCTTGACCTTTGGCACTCGACCTTTACCTTTGGCACTCGACCTTTACCTTTTGCACCCTTTTCTGCATGGGTTAGGGTCCATTTCGAGGTTGACCTGACTTACTCCAAATCGATAAACGAGCGGCTTTCGGTTGCCCAGGTGACCTTAAACCTCGTTTTAGCCAAGTCTGAGACCTAAAGGGAACCTTGTTATTTTGAGTTGGAAGAACGACGGTCCAATTCCGTTGGACGCATCTGGGGACACATTAACACATTTATCAGAAGCTTGAAATTCGCTAGGAAGATCGACCTTGACCCTCAAACCGCCTTGCCACTCGACCTTGATATTTGCAGGTGGATCCAGGCCTTGATGTTTGACCTTGACCTTTGACGGTCGTCTTTGACCGTGGTATTTGACCTTGACCTTTGACAATCAACCTTTGCCTTTGGCACCCTTTTCTGCATGGGTTAGGGTCCATTTCGAGGTTGACCTGACTTACTCCAAATCGATAAACGAGCGGCTTTCGGTTGCCAAGGTGACCTTAAACCTCGTTTTAGCAAAGTCTGAGACCTAAAGGGAACCTTGTTATTTTGGGTTGGAAGAACGACGGTCCAATGCCCATGGGCGCATCTGGGGACACATTAACACATTATCATAAGCTTCAAACTCGCCAGGCGGATCGGCGTTGACGCTCCAACCACTTTCACACTCGACCTTGACCTTTGGCGGTTGACGAAAGCCTTGGTGTTTGACCTTGACATTTGACGGTCGACCTGACCTTGGTATTTGCCCTTGATCTTTGGCACTCGACCTTTACCCTTGGCACCCCTTTCTGCAGGGATTAGGGTCCATTTCGAGGCTGACCTGACTTACTCCAAATCGATAAACGAGCGGCTTTCGGTTGTGCAGGTGAAACCTCGTTTGGCAAGGTCTGAGACCTAAAGCGAAACTTGTTATTTTGGGTCGGAAGAACGACGGTCCAATACCAATGGTCGATTCTGAGGACACATTTTTCCCTCCAACCACCTTGACTTTGACCTTGATATTTCACCTTGACCTTTGACGGTCGACCTTGACCTTGACCTTTGGCACTCGACCTTTACCTTTTGCACCCTTTTCTGCATGGGTTAGGGTCCATTTCGAGGTTGACCTGACTTACTCCAAATCGATAAACGAGCGGCTTTCGGTTGCCCAGGTGACCTTAAACCTCGTTTTAGCCAAGTCTGAGACCTAAAGGGAACCTTGTTATTTTGAGTTGGAAGAACGACGGTCCAATTCCGTTGGACGCATCTGGGGACACATTAACACATTTATCAGAAGCTTGAAATTCGCTAGGAAGATCGACCTTGACCCTCAAACCGCCTTGCCACTCGACCTTGATATTTGCAGGTGGATCCAGGCCTTGATGTTTGACCTTGACCTTTGACGGTCATCTTTGACCGTAGTATTTGACCTTGACCTTTGACAATCGACCTTTGCCTTTCACACCCTTTTCTGCATGGGTTAGGGTCCATTTCGAGGTTGACCTGACTTACTCCAAATCGATAAACGAGCGGCTTTCGGTTGCCAAGGTGACCTTAAACCTCGTTTTAGCAAAGTCTGAGACCTAAAGGGAACCTTGTTATTTTGGGTTGGAAGAACGACGGTCCAATGCCCATGGGCGCATCTGGGGACACATTAACACATTATCATAAGCTTCAAACTCGCCAGGCGGATCGGCGTTGACGCTCCAACCACTTTCACACTCGACCTTGACCTTTGGCGGTTGACGAAGGCCTTGGTGTTTGACCTTGACATTTGACGGTCGACCTGACCTTGGTATTTGCTCTTGATCTTTGACACTCGACCTTTACCTTTGGCACTCTTTTCTCCATAGGCTAGGGTCCATTTCGACGTTGACCTGACTTACACCAAATCGATAAACGAGCGGCTTTCGGTTGCCCACGTGACCTTAAACATCGTTTCGATAAACTCCGAGACCTAAAGGGAACCTTGTTATTTTGAGTTGGAAAAACGACGGTCTAATTCCGTTCGTCGCATCTGGGGACACATTAACACATTTATCAGAAGCTTGAAATTCGCTAGGAAGATCGACCTTGACCTTTGACAATCGACCTTTGCCTTTGGCACCCTTTTCTGCATGGGTTACGGTCCATTTCGAGGCTGACCTGATTTACTCCAAATCGATAAACGAGCAGCCTTCGATTGCCCAGGTGACCTTAAACCTCGTTTGACAAGGTCTGAGACCTTGAACTTTTTGTCATGTGCATGACTTTTACCTCTTCGGAAAGAATCCATCCTCATATCCATCCTCATATTTTGTATTTGGATCAATTTCTTAGATGTCTGACACGCATCATTGAAAATACATCAGCATCTTCAACTTTTCCACAATCTAACCACAAAGTATCAGTCTCAGTATACAAAACAAATTTAGTGCATGGATGCAGTCTTAGATGCCCGGCACACGCATTCCATTAAAAATCAAAAGGCACTGAAAATACATCAGCAACTTGACCTTTCCACAAGCTAATCTCAAAGTATCAGTCTTAGTATTCAATCAAATTTGGTACATGGATG